CGGAGCTGCTCCTGGCACTGCAGTGCTCGTGGTGCCCATGGAGCTGCAGTGCCCACGGAGCTGCTCCTAGCGCTGCGGTGCCCATGGTGCCCACGGAGCTGCTCCTGGCACTGCAGTGCTCATGGTGCCCATGGAGCTGCTCCCCACACTTCAGTGCTCGTGGTGCCCATGGAGCTGCTCCCCACACTGCGGTGCTCGTGGTGCCCATGGAGCTGCTCCCCACGCGCTGCCAGGCTGGGGAGCGTCTCCCTTGTCTTGCAGCCCTCCCTGGCCGTAGCGGGTGAGGCCTACGTGTGGATTTGCCCCTGGGGGTCTCTCCATAGACAGCTGCTGCGTGGCAGCGCTGGCACCATCACGCAGGGCGACCTTTGCTGTGTGAGGCTACTGCTTTGCCCAGTGCCTGTAGGAAGGGCACAAGGGAGCAGCTTGAGAAACAGGAGGTGCTTTTGGTGCAAAAAAAAAAATGTACAACATTATAAATGCTGCCTTAAATGAGGCCCGTGATGGCAAGCAGAGACTTCTTTCTTACACCAAACGTTACTGCAGTAAATAAAAGAAACTGAAAACCAACTTATTGTCTTATTTTGACAGGTGTGTGTGACCTGTCAGAGACTGATAGCACAGCAATGGGCAGAGAGTAAAAAGGGGAATTTATAAAGAGTTAATGCCACTTGGTTGTAACTTGTTCCCCCTTGGCAGAAGCAACAAAATCCCTGCAATCCTCTGCTTTCCTGACCCCTCGGCATGCGCTGCTCGGCCTGCTCGCTGCAGCGATGTCCCCTGGCGCTCACGGGTGCTCTGTCCATGCGGCTGCCTCAGGGAACTCGGCCCCTTGCCCGGCTTCCCGTTTCCCCTGGGGAAACGCAGCGTCCTGCCGGTTGCGGCAGACGGAAGCACGTTTCTGACCCCCGGCCTTTCTTGGGATGCGCCGGCGCTTCCCTGCGGGACGGCGAGGTGCTAAAACCAGGGAAGAGCCGCGGCTGCCACACGCGCTGCTTTGGGGATGACCGGAGGCTTTCTATTCATTACAGTCACACATAACCAGGGCGGTCCTTTTTTTAATTACTATTCAATTAAAGTAGCTATATAAACCGAGAAGCTTAAATATCAGGCAGCACTGCAGATAGCGCTGAGTAAAGTGCCATTAGTGCTCACAGGAAAATTGAGTTTAGCCACATTAAAATCACAGCGCCATAGAAAAACACTCATTTTTCACTTGAAACACACCATAGTGCACACTCATTAAGTGTCCAATTGCTTAAATTTGCATGTTTTATGTCTGTGGTCTAGCTTGAAACTATTGGGCCAGTACCGTTAGACTCCAGCAGTAATGCAGCAGGTGTTAGCAGAGTAAAACAGTGTTATTTAATGAGCTTTATATGCATATATTGCAAAGTCAAGGCCTTGGCAGTGGGTTTAAGGCAGCTGTTGCAGGTCAGGTCAGGCTCTGCGCTGCAGCTCCTGCCCGCTCTGGGCGAGCTGAGCACCGGGGACAGAAACGGTGATTTCAGCACCAATTTCTGCATCAGTTATTAATCTATTTGGTCTGGGGCAAGGAGGGAACAGAGGTGGAGATGGGGCAAAAAGATGCCCAGGGCAAAACATTCCCACTTGGCAGAACGGCACCCTCGCATGGGATACCAGCGAGGAGAAGGGACCCACGGAGCCGTGGGAAGCGGGATGTGGGCAGGGAATCAGCATCTGCTTCCGTGAGGATCCTCGCAGACTGTTTTGGCAAGTCTCACGCTCTTAAGTAACTATTTACCTCGGCGCTCCCCCGGCCCCCGGGCAATGACCTGCCTTCCTGGCAGCCGAGGGCCACACGCGAGCGGCGTCACGAAAGCCCGAGGCGCCCGAAGTGCCGGGCCCGGGTGCTCCGCAGGGTGTTGCGCTCATGCTGGAGCACCAAGATCCATCACCAGGGCCTGGCACTGTGTGGGGAGCACAGCCAGAGCCCGAAGGCTGGCTGGGCCCCGCCGTTCCCGTCCTGGCACGCTCGGTATATCGGGAATAAACCGTGTCAGAGCAGGGGAAGACTGCAGGGAAGGGGTCACCGCGCTGGGGACAGTGGCCTCATGGGGCACAACCTTGCTGAGGGCTCCGAGAAAATACGGCAGTGCTTAAAAATGCATGTATAGATATATGGGTATTGCTGAGCAGGAGGTGAACAGGTGGTTGGGTGGGTGAGCGCCAAGATGCTGCGGCTGCAGCAGCTCCCTTGGCACCGTGGGGGACATGGTTTGGGATGTGGTTCGGAACATGGTTTGGGATGTGGTTCGGAACACGGTTTGGGATGTAGTTCGGGACATGGTTTGGGATGTAGTTCGGGACGTGGTTTGGGATGTGGTTCGGAACACGGTTTGGGATGTGGTTCGGAACACAGTTTGGGATGTGGTTCGGAACACGGTTTGGGATGTGGTTCGGAACACGGTTTGGGATGTGGTTCGGGACGTGGTTTGGGCTGTTGTTCGGGACGTGGTTTGGGATGCAATCTGGGATGGGGTTCAGGATGCAGCCTGGAAGGTGGCTCAGGATGCCACTGGCCGTGCAGGCCATGCGAGCTGCAGGAAGGGAAGGAGCTGTGTGCCAAGGCGCTCGGGATGCTCCCAAGGCCGCAGGGGCCGAGAAAGGCGATGTTCCCGCGGGATCCCTGCGGGCAGGACGGGCGGGCAGCAGGTCCGGCTGCCCCGGGGCTCCTGTCCCCAGCTACACACGGGAGCCCCACGAGTGGCAGCTCTGCTGCAGGCCCAGGACCTTCTTCCAGGCACCACGTGGTGGAAAACATTGTATTTCTCAAATGAAAGAGGAAAACAGACCGCAGAACTTTGGGAAACTAATACAACTTTAACCCCACACCGGCAAAGGGATTGAGGGAGCGATTTACTCCAGGGCTCCCGCACCCCCTGCCCTTGCCGGGCCGCGCTCGCCGCGCGGAGGGCTCACATAAACACAGATGTCTCTGCTGGGAGCCAGCCTCGTGCTGCGGCGATAAAAATAGGCTCTGCTCTCCTGGCAGCGGGGATTAATTAGCAATTGACCCCGGCCAGGATTTTTTCGCTCCCTCTAAATTCTTCATCTCAGAGGGCTAAACGAGAGCTTAGCGTTGTTTCAAGAAGCTCCGCTTGCTGAGCAGCGCTGCAGTTTATCTCCAGGTCGTATATCAGGAGTTTAATTTATCTTTGGGCTATGTATCAACAGTGACTAGTCAGGCTGGAACTGAGTTTATTATAAAGACGTTCTGTTAGCTGACACAGTAGTACAACGATCTGAACATGCTGCTAATTTTTTCCATTAACGCCCAATTCTGCACACGAACACAGAGTACCATTTAAAATGTATTCAACAATACTTTACATTTAGTTTTCCAATAAATAAGTTCAATAAATACTAATTTTGCAGATTAAAAAGCTGTACGTGTGATTAAGAGCTGCTTTACAATGTTGTCAAAAATAACTAGAGTATTCCTGTTTATCGTCAATCACTGGAAATTGATAAGTAAAATATAAATATTTTAATCTTACTATGGAGACTGGAGGAGGGAGGATTTGTTAAAACCATCCTGAGGAAGGATCACACAGAACTCAACGTTGCACACTACGTTTAGAATTCAAAGCATGCCTTCACACTCTATTTAGCACACAACGTTTTCAAACACATTTCTTAAAAACAGGAGAAACGATCAAGACTGCGCGTGTAGGGTTTCAGCGCGCCGGCCGCCGCGTCCCACCGCGGCTCGGCCTGACTAATTTTGGATGACCTATTCCACGTCGGGAGGAAGGAGAGAGTGTAACAAAGGGGCGACTCAGCCCGGGTCTATTGCAACATCTTGTTAGTGCAGCACTCGGTGTTTCACAGTACAGGAAATTAAATCTCTCTGATTTTATATATGTGGATGTATGTATGTGTATGTATATATGTATGCATATACATATGTGTGTGTATATACATATATATAAAATACATTTTAGCAAGTACTTTCTTGGGAAATGACTATTACACTATCTCTCAAGATTGCAAGCAACAGAAATACCCTTGTGTCGAATCCAAAGGAAGGTAATCGGAATAACGGCAGTTTTCACTCGTCTAGAAGGTACCGTTATTTTCACTGTGCACATTTCTAGCGGTTTACCCGTAAAGAACTCGAGACAAAACTGGCAGTGCAGGCGGCGGGCGCCAAAGCCGCGGAGGCCGGTGCGAGGCCGTCCTTGCGCGCGGCGTGGAGCGCAGCCCCATGGCCCCGCGCCGGGGGCCCCTCCGCAGCCTCCTCCTGCCGCCCCCATGGGCTGTGCACGCACATTTGCACGTCCACGTCTCCTCCATGTGCAAAGCGCCGGGTGTCGCTGGAGCTGGGCACCCGCCTGCCGCAACAGGCGCCGGGGTTTGAGGAACAGCGTGACACCCGGCGGTGCGCACACCAGAACGCCCGTCAGTCGCATGTAGTCAGTCCTCAGAGCAGGCTGAATCATAAATGCCACCGAACCAGCCAGAATCACCAACGCTACAAGCAGGTGAAGGAACAACAGAACTCTAAAGGTGAGCTAAGCACGTCGTGACGCCGGTTTGAACACCAGGTTGCACCGGTGAGGGAGCAGAGGACAGCGCTAAGGGCAGACGCTGGGACCGAGCATCAGATAAAAGGAGATTTTATTCTTTCCTATTCTTAAACAGAGGATAACGAAGAAAAATTTTGAGCGTGGGAGACTAAGTCATTAAAATAGGCGCAATTTGATGGCTTTCTTCCTTTAGGGGATTTACTTCGTTTTACTTTATCTGGCACAAGTCAGAAAGAAGTGAGAATATTATAAGCTCAAAAAGAAGACAACTTGAGTTTTGACATGTTATTTTCCATTAAGATCATTTTTCCCCCTTTGCTTAAAAAAAACTTTCCCTAGCATCAGAAAATGCAGCTTTCCCTAGAAGGCGTTTGCGAGACGAGTGGATGCTCCTCACCTCCTTGCAGGTCCACGGTGTCCCGGCCGGCCGCGCCGCAGGCCTTTGCCTGCCCTCACAAGCTCGTGTCTCCGTTCTGCTTGTACTCCGACAAAATGTTGAGCGTCATCTCCTCGCTTTTGGACTGCACGTGATGCTCGCTCCTTCTGGAGGACTTCCTGGTGGCCCTGGAGAGCCGCCTGCGGAAGGTGTCACCCGCCAGGAAGTAGAGGATAGGGTCCACGCAGCTGTTGAGGCTGGCCAGCCCCCGCGTCACCTGGTAGGTGGCGTAGACCTTGTCGTTGAAGGCACACATCTGTGGAGTCTGAAAATCCAGCCTGGCCCTCAGGTTCAAAGTCTTCATCACGTGGAAGGGAAGGTAAGACACCGCAAAGACCGTCAGCACGATGATGACCAGGTAAATGGACTTCCTCCTCAGAGGAGAGTTGTCCAGGTCTTTGTAAATCAAAGCTTTCACGATGAGCCCATAGCAGCCGAGGATGAGGATGAAGGGGATGCAGAACATGAACACCGTGGTGCACATGCTGTAGACGAAGTAGCTCCGCAGGTAGTCGTCGGCAGTGGTATCGTAGCACGTGATGGTTTTATTCTTCCGTATCCCTGTCCCCGAGTAGAAGAGAATGGGGGAGATGACGGCCGCGACGATGACCCACACCAGGGCGCTGATGTAAACGGCGTTCTTCTTCTTCAGCCGGCCCAGCGACTTGAGGGGGTGCACCACCCCTGTGTACCTGTGCACGCTGATGCACGCCAGGAACAGGATGCTGCCATAGAGGTTCACGTGGAAGATGAACCTCTGCAGCTTGCACATGACGTCTCCAAAGATCCAGTCTGTTTTGTTGAAGTAGTAGAAGATGAGAGCGGGCAGAGTCAAGACGTACAGGAAGTCGGCCAGCGCCAGGTTGAACATGTAGACGGAGATGCCACTCCAAGGCCGCATGTGGAAGAGGAACATCCAGATGGCCACGCTGTTGCCCAGGAACCCCGTGATGAAGACGAGGATGTAGACGGTGGGCAGGTAGTAGAACTGGAAGCCGGTTTTGGTGAGGGAGCACTTGGTGGTGGCATTTCCTGCCCAGGCGCTGCCGGAGAGCAGGCTGGGCTCAGTTCCATTGAGGGCAGCCGAGAGGAGGACCTCGGTCATGATCTTCCCGCCGTCTCACATGGGCCCGAGAGCGAAGCAGCGAGGGCTCTGCAGAGACAGCGGAGCATCTGCAAAGAAACACAGCAATGAGCCGAGCACGCGGCGGGGCCGGGGAGGGGCCCCCCCGGCCCGCGCAGCCCCG